AATAAAAAAAAAACTCAGAGCCTCCAAACCACACCGCCGACACTGGTCGACAAGTGGCTTGTGCAGAATTTAGAATCTCATAATAGTGAAATACTGAAGAAAGCCCCTACAAACCGTCTGCAAAACGCTATGCTACTTTAGAAAAGCTAGGGCAAGTCGCTTGTGAAACATAGTGGGTGACGGCCGCTTATTTGTTGGATTATATCTTTGAGTGATCTCCTACATTACTTGGGCTAAAATCAAAACTACAAAAACAGCTATTTCCGGGGAATTTCCCGGGAACGGCGTCGTCTTTTCCCGGGATTTGATATGGCCTCATTTTCGGGAAAAATATTAAACCTAGTTGAGACTGATGTGGAATGGAGCTAAGCTAACTCCAGCTAAGCCAAGAATACTCTGGCACAGATGCATTTTTGAAGAGAGGTTTTGTGACAGGTTCATTGATAGTTGTATTTGATTGTCTCCCACCCTATAAGGTCTGAGACATTATGCAAATGATATTCCAATGTAGTTTATATACTGGCATATGGCTAATAAAATGAATCATGAATCTGAATCAGAGAATAAGACAGTACCTACAAATTGCAAGTTGATATTGAAAGTGTCCGACAGGTCACAGACTGACCCTCCTCTGACTCAGTGATTTGTGTGTGTCCCACACGTCTGTAACTGAATCCAGATTAACAAGCATTTTCACATAGATTCTATGTCTGGTCCCTCTGCCGGCACACCCGCCCCAAAGCCTGATGTTCCACCCCATGCTTCACAGTAGGTCTGTGGTGCTTTGCTCCTGCAAACACAGCGAGGGGAGTTTTTACCTAACGGTCTGTTGGGTTTCATCTTTCACCGAAACATTCTCCCGATGTGTCTGGTTCCTGACCCTGCTCTGTAAAAATAAAAAAAATTAACAAACATAAAAAAAAACTAAAAAAACTGCAGACGCCTGGACTGTCTGGATCTAGTGTACTTTGGACTGGATCAAAAAAACACAGACTTACTTGGGGTGGAAAGATAATGTTGTGGGGCTGTTTTTCTGCGGAGGACCAGGAGCCCAGGACAGAGCCTTTGAAGATGTCAACATTTTTAAACCTCGACACTGATCCAAACGCACAGGTCCTGGAGCCTCCTTCAGAGAACATCTGTGTTTCCAATCCTGCTCTAGAAGAGATATGCAGGAGAATAGGCAAAATACTGCAACAGTGCTCTCTGCGACAAGAACCGTGTTGTGTGTCACGTTGTGTTTTGTTGCAGGTTGTGCAGGTCATAAGCACATTCGCTCCTGGTTTCACTCAGGGCTACGACTGCAGAGGGATGGAAGTCGCTACGTTACCATAGAGATCCAGGACGGATGAGTAGGCTGGTTCTGGCGAGGTGGAGGTCTACGGCTCTGTTCTGGACTAGTGTGTGTGTGTGTGAGAGACCAGAGAGTTTACATACACCGTTGCCATAGACTGTTTGACTTCTGTTTGTAAGGGTTGTGTGCACTTTGAAACTGTAATGTTGTTTTATAATAAATTGGAGTTGAATGTTGGGATTGGATATGTGATAACTGCACATATTTGGAGTATATGTGATATTGTGAAGCATAAACTGAAAGAGTACTGTCAAAACTTTTCTAATATTTAATGTGATATTCTTTTTGGTCATCGTTAACTCGGCCTTTTGATTTGGGTTGAAAAGTTTGGAAGCAAAAATCTTATTATTATCTAATCCCCTCCAATAAGAAGAGTACGCTGCTCTAGAAGAGATCTGCAGGGCGGACCGGGGCCGAATACCAGCAACAGTGAAAACCTTGTTACTCACAGAACACATATGTCACTACACCAAAGGACTCACATAACACAAAGATGGACTTTATTTGTGACAAAATATTATTAAAAAAATTGGCAAATAAATTCTTCGATCTTTAATAAAACTGTAACTGACTGTCGCATCGGTACAATAGAAAAAACACAACTCCATAGAGCGAAGAATACACTGGGATTTATAAGATACAAAGTCTAGCGAGGAGTTTTTTCTTTATTATTTAAATTCAAACGGTAACGAGAGAGGTTGAAGGGCTGTACAGGGGTGAGAAATGCAAGAGGTATCTTCAATATGTCCACAGTGATAGCACAGGTTACAGATGGCAGTGGAAAACAGGTACAGATGAGGATTTATAATATCATCTATAATCGCTGTTCACTCCTCTGCTCCATTTCTACACATGATGAGGCCGTAATTGCGTTCTGTTAATGTGTTTCATTCTATCTGGGACTACGATGAAGACCAATATTTACAAAAACATTTGAGTTTCTCTTCTTGAAACAATGATGGACGTAAACTTTCTGTTTTGATGTCGATAAAACCTTCTTGATACATATCCAGAGGTGCCGTACTTTCCCAGCACTTTCTACTGTTTGGAGGGAAACCTAGTCTTCTGAATCGACAGTAACATTTGTGTGTGTGTGTGTGTTACACACCATAAATTAAAACTTCAGCGGCCTCACATTAAGGAACATGTTGTTTGTGTCGGAATAGTTCAGTTCTATATCTAAATAATGAACAGTTTGACAATCCAGGGTACAATCATATTGGACAGTATATTTTAACACTTAACTAATGACAAAACTTGGAAAAAAAGGTTTTTTACAATGCTCTCAATTTTTAACATTTTGTGATGTGCTGAGCGGGCCGAGTCTTCAAAGGCGTACGAGTATCAAGAGGAGGTGGGTTGCGGCGTGTGTTGTGATGTATGTGGTGACGTTCGACGCTATCTCACAGCGGCCGCACCCATGGATCTATAAAATAATGGATAGAGTATTACTAGCTTAGAGCAGTCCCCCCATGACCCACAGGGGGCGCGTGGTTACTGCAGACTAAATTCCAAGGGTACCCAGAAAAAAAGTCCCATCGAACTCAATGTAAATTAAAACAGAACGACTCCAGCTGAAGAGAACCTGCAGCTTTCAGAAAGGTCGGATTTTGTGGGGCTTTTAGTGTCCCTTGTCCTCCTGAACTTTTTTCTTCTTAAATCCTTCGGTTTTCTTTAAAATCCATACTTTTACTTTGCCACAAACTCTGCTCCATCTTCCAGCTTGAACTCCCGTAAAACTTTTAGTAAAACTTCAGTTTCATATTTCAAGGTTTGCCTTACGATACAATATTCACATTTGTTTAAGTTAATAATACGTGGGAAACCAGTTGCGTAAAGTTGCGTGGCGGCAGTGGTTATTGTGGACTCTGAAGTTGAGATATGTGGGTCGCATCCTGCTTGACTCCAATTAAGTTTTGTATTTGCAAAGTAAATATACTTTAATATTGGGAATAAAATGGTTGGTTGGTTTAATTAATCCACCTCAAGGTAGTTTTTTCTCCAATTAAAAACTTTTTTGTAACAACTGTATGCTTGGATGCCATGTGTTTGTTGTATCAAACAATTGACTGAAAGACTCAATAGTTCCTAGTTCATGACGCATCATTTCAAACCCAACCATGTTTAGACCATAGACTGTACAAAATCAATTTACTATTAGACCCCACCATTCATTGTAAAGCACTTAAGAGGTTATGTATTTTTTTGTCACAAGATGGCGTAGTGGTGCATGATTCACCTCGAGCCCTTTCAAACCCAGGGCCGAGTAAAAGGCTGCAAACCTCATCATGGGGCTTATATCACTAACATTTTCATTGTGCTTTTTGAGATGAAAAAAACTGTGCCGTCAACGTGAAACACTAAAGCTTTCTCAGCGTGTGTCTTGGTGTGAACAGTGAGGTGACTCCTCTGAGAAAAGGCTTTGTCCTTTAACAGACTGAGCCCTGAAGGGGTCTCTCCCCTGTGTGAAGTCCGAATGTGTACAGTGAGTTTGTACTTTTGAGAGAATTGTTTTGTACATGTGGAGCAGGTGTGAGCTTGTCCCCTGAGTGATCAAATGTGTTCAGAGAAGCGCACCTTCTTTGAAAAGCCTAACTACAGACTGAGCAGCTGAAAGGCCTGTCCCTGTGTGAGTCCTCATGATGCACCGTTAGTTGATTGCCTTTGGACAAGCTTTATCACAGGACAGAACAAATGTGAGGTTTGTCCCCTGTGTGAGTCCTCACTTGTTCAGTTAGTTGTGTACGTTGGGAACAAAGATTTACTACAGACTGAGCAGCGTAAGGCTTGTCCCCAGTGTGGGGAGTTCCTCATTTGTACAGTCGTTTATTCCCTTGATAAAAGGCTCTGTCCCGACTGAACAGACTGAAGGTTTTTCACCTGTTTGTTGTCCTCATGTGTTCGCGTAATATCTCTTTGTTGGACATTACTTTGTCGCAAACAGAGCAGCTGAAGGGTTTGTCTCCTAGTGCGAGGCCATCTGTGGCTCTGGCTCTGGATCTGTGGTGGTCGTCTCATCCTCACTCTGTCTCTGAGGACACAGGCTGAGATGAAGTCTTCATCAGGTCGTGGTCAGAGGAGTGCTCTGTGTCTCCCTCAGACTCTGGCTGATGTCTTCTCCTGTGTCTCCTCTCGTGCTCACTTTGTCTTTGAGGCAGGGACCACCCTTCTGGTCTTCACAACACAAGACTGGAACAAACACAAACTGGTCTCTTGATGTGAACCTGATGACAATCATCAGTAAATATGTAGAATGATGGACAGAGACTCACAGCGGCACCTTCCTGTGTTTGATCCTCATTCCTCTTGCTCCTCTTTAGTCTGTGGACTTTGTGGAATTCCGGAGCAGACTGTGTTCTTAAGCCTTCATCCCACAGTTCTGCTTTCCACACCAAGATCTGGGCTAGCTCAATGTTTTAAACATGCTTGCAGTTTCCGCACAGACAAGACTACATTTGCAGCAGATCTTCCCCAGTTTGATGCCATGTTCCTCTGGTCTCGTGATTGTGGACTCTCAGGGTTTTCTGACTTCAGACCGGAGATCTCTCTCTTTTCTCCTCCTCGTTTTTGTTGTTGAGGAGCGATTATCCTGGTTGAAGCAGGAAAACCAGGAAGTCCACAGATCAAGGCGAGGAGCAAGCGGAACATGGCATCAAACTGGAGGAAGACTGCTGCCAATGTGAGTCTGTGTTCTGTGCGGAAACGCAGCATGTGTAAAAACATTGAGCTGAGCCCGATCTGTTGTGTGGCTGCAGACTGTGGGAGTGAAGGCAGAAGAACACAGTCTGCTCCAGGAAATTCCACAAAATTCCACAGACTAAAGGGAAGGCCAGAGGAAGTGCAGGGATACAAACACGAGGAGGAGCCGCTGTGAGTCTCTGTCATCATTCTACATATTACTGTGATTGTCATCAGGTTCAAATCAGTGACCAGTTTGTGTTTGTTCAGTCTTCTTGTTTTTAGTTCCTTATCTCGTGTGTGAAAGACAGAAGCGAGTGGTCCCTGCCTCAAAGACAAAGTGAGCCCGCGAGGAGCACACCGGGAGGACGACTCAGCCCAGAGTTGAGGGAGACACAGAGCAATCCTCTGACAGACCTGGAAGAAAGACCTCATCTTAAGCCAGAGTCCTCAGAGGACAGATGATGAGGAGTACGACCACACCACAGAGTCCAGAAGCAGCGCCACAGATGGGCCTACGCACAGGAGCCAAACCCTCAGAGCTCTGTCTGCGGACAAAGTATTGTCAACAAAGAGTATTACGCGGAACACATGAGACACAACAGGTGAAAACCCCTTCAGCAGTCAGTCTGTGACCAGAGCCTTTTCTCAAAGGAAATATACACTTGACTGACCCATGAGGACTCACATGGGAACAGCCTTACAGCGGCTCGGTCTGTAGTAAATCATTTTCCAACGTACACACTAAGCTGAACCCGTGAGGCCTCACCACAGGGGACAACCCTCCCATTTGTTTGTCTGTGATATTAAAGCTTTTTCCAAAGGCAATCAACTAACTGTGCACATGAGGACGCACAAAGGGGACAGGCCTTTCCAGATGTCAGTCTGTAGTAAAGGCTTTTTCACGAGGGTGCTCTCACTGAACACATGATGACTCACACCGGGGACATCTCACACCTGCTCCACATTGTAACAAAAAACATTCTCTCAAACAGTACAAATACTACTCACAAAGATCCTTGGCATTTGCGGGATGGGTCAAATGCAGAGGATAAATCTCCCTATGGGGATAAATGAAGTGCACATTTACATTTTACACAAGTTATTTTTTGAAGACGTCACCCCCGCGATAAAGCAGGGACCACTGTGTGATTGATTTTACAGTCAAGGTGAACTGGTGGTGCGACCAGAACCACCACCAAACATTTATACTGAGGCAGACGGTGAGAATGTTGAAGCCACGTTAGCAGCAGTCAGACAGTATATATGACACTTAAAGATCACAGCTGATTTCAAAGTTTATTTTCAAAAAAATAAATAAACATTGATAAATGTGAGTTCCCTTTTTCTTCTGCTTTATCTGTCCCCGGATCAAGAAATGCATAGACTCTCCCAATCCCCCTTCGGTTTAATATCTGGAACTGTATCCTGCAAACCTAACCCTAACCCTAAACCACAACAATCCAGTGTGAAGGGAAAGTCCTTTGTAACCTTGGCTTCTAGTAGCACTTTGGCCAATCACAGTTAGAACTCTTTGGTCCCAGCTCGACCTGGATAGAACCAGGGTCACAAGGAACTAAAGAAAGACCTGGTACTGGTTAAACAGGTGGTCGAGGTCAAATATTTAAGTATTAAGTGTATTGGTACCTTAAAAGTTTGAGACACACTTACACAATGCTTTCTTTGTGCAAGAATAACAAACATGTCATGATCAATGATGGCCTCTGAACGGACTCGTGCTCAGAGCTGCAGGAGGCTGTCTCTCTCTACAGGAGCTAATGCTGACGCTAATGAACCAATCAGACTCACAGGGACACACGCTGACAGGACATCACTGGGCTTTCAAACAAGGCATTTCACACACGTTTGCCTGAACAGCCAGATCAGGAACCGACCAATCGCAGATCATAGAACCTTACAGTAGGGTTGTCAAATTGAGAACAAAAAAATAAGGGACATCATTTGGGTGGATTGGGTTGAGCACTTTTTAGTCCTAATTTCAATTCACACAGCAAATATGGAATTTCATAATCAGAGTTTTTAGAATGTAATTTATTGACTACAGATAAAAAAACAAAAACAAATCAAAAATGGCTGGTTAAGGACTTAATGCATTCTTATTAGTAATAAAAAAAAAGACAAATGCTGTAACATAAATTATTTATGTACGTTACAGTAAAGACCATTTACTGCAAAAGCAAAAACTCACAAATGTTGAAATCAAAGTCTGTAGCAGTTAGATATAGTAATTATTTATATTGTCTGAGAGTTTTGTGCATGTACATGGCTTCAGTAAAAGCTATTGTTCGTTTTCAAAGCTGGTCTTGACATTTGTTGAAGCTCCCTAAGCGCTTTTTCTCGGCGCTTGCAGTGCATTGGATTCAATGGATTTATCTGCATTAAAACAGTGCATTTGATTTTAATAATCAACGTAGAGATGATCATTTTAGCAAATTACTTTTGTTTAACAAACTAACTTCCGTGAGCTATTGACCGCGGAAGTCCGAATCTGGGAATATGACGCTACTTTACCAAACTTCTGCCAGGATGATGCTGCTGGCACGGCCCATGCTGGAGCTTGTCAACATTAAACCCATCGACGTGATCAAGCCTACGCCTCCTTTGACTCTGATTGGCCGAAAGGTGTGTGTGCGTGTGTCGCAGTGAGTGGGACAAAAGCCGTTCCGTATCCATTCAATACGGGACGCACATAGTTTTTCTTTAATACGGGACAATTCCGTATTTCAAGGGACGGTTGGCAACCGGGTTAGCATTGTCCGTGTAGATTGTCTAGGTCTATGGCTTGTTCCTTTTTTCAAAAACGGATGGAGTATAACATCAGGATCTTGTACAAACATTTATTCTCATTTGTTCTATTTTCTGATCTATAATAAATGCTCTTTGAAATCATGTGGACAGAGCTCAAGTAAATAACTAACTTTACCCCGTTTCCATTTAAAAGTTTGTGGATGAGCAGAAGAAGTTGAACATGTTTTCATCTCATTCCTCACGACTGGTCTGAGGCCTGAGGTCTTTGATGTGGACGGAAAGATCAGCCGCTGTGTTGACATTAGGAGCTGATGCATTTTTAATCACATACAAGGTTCCGGCATTTTCTGCAGCTGGAACAAGCCCAGACTTTAAAAGCACTTTAAGTACTGTAGAGCCATTTTAATATAATTCCAAGCCAAAGTTTAAGATATAGCTAAGCGTTTACATTTGCATAAAGAGAAATTGACTGTTACAAGTTTAACAGCAATAATACTTCAGCACGTTCCAAAGAGCCTATTGTTTCACATTGGGGTTAAGGACAGTAGAAAAAGCCTGTCCTGGTAACTACGGTAACTATATGGTTAATGTCAAAAGTCAGATTCTTAAACCGCGTTCCAACCGCCGATGCATGGACTTGCGTTGATGGAGGCGCGTTGACTGAATTCCAGCTGCATGAGTTTAGTCAATCTGACTCACTGCCCTGCGTTGGGGGAAAACGCAGGGCGGAAGTGGTGGGTGGGCTTTGATGCAAGTTTAAGATCCTTTTTTGTGAAGTTCTTCTCCACAGGTGCAGCTCCATCTCTGTGTCCCGAGAGGCTCCAGAGACGTTATAAAACACGAGTATCTCTTCACGGAGCTGTGCCGTGGATTCATTACATTATTGGTACTATCAGCGAACACGTTAGCGGCACTTATTTACCACAAGTTTACCACAAGACATTTAACTGTTGACAGTTAAATGTCTACTCAAGGTGAAGACATATGTTCACAACCACTGCGTCGCTGATTTTATCCTAGTTTGGCTCATGTTTTGGTTGTTTTCGAGAGTCTACGTCTTCTTGTGTCCTGTGACCACTTTGCTGCTCTCTGATTGGTTTCCGCATGGATGTTCAGTGAATCTCATGTCTCATGTGGCAAAAACGCGTCTGTTGCGCTTGACATGCAAATACTCGCATCATTGACTTTGCATTGAAACTCGCTGCAACGCTTGATCCGGTGTGAACGCGGCTTTAGTCTTAGTTTTACGCAAATTTCTCTGATTTCGCTGATAAAGAAGAACAATCTTCTTTATCAGCGCAGCTCCAGTCTCTAATAGTATGATGTCATTGTGCCACTATGACATCACTATGATAAGTAGGGGTGTGACGATATATCGCGATACTTTCTCCCGGGATTTGATTATCGTTATGCATTTGCCAAGTATCAATATCAATTAAAAATAAAAAATAAATACAAATAAAAGAATAAAAAACATTCTTTTTTTGTTTTTTACAAATTATGTTTTTGAATTGGTATCAATACTGAATATATGGCTACATTACGCATCTCCATTCCATTTATCATGAAATAAAGTGTATTTTTTCTTTTATTTATGCCATAAATTGGCATATTGTATATTTCTGACCAATATATCAATAATTGTCATATCGTGATAAAATCGTTATTGTGATATTATCGTTATCGTGAGCTTTGTATCGTGTATCGTATCGTATCGTGAGGTACCCTTAGTGGGGAAATTTTAATATTTGTTGCACACATCAAATCCTGTTTGTTGCACATATCAAACATGTCTGTGTCTCCAGACTCCCTCTGGTGGCAGCATACAGAGTTACAGGCAATGTGCTTTTTTTACCCTTTCACCATATATTTTCTTCTGAAGATAGTTCTAAGTCTAAAACATGAAAAGACCAAGGAAAGTGGCTCATTATCCTTTCTATTGGCTACAAAATAATGTGTATTATTTCTTCTTTGAACCCAGAAGAAATATTGGACACATCTGGAGTCTGCAGATGTGTTTATGATGAGGTTTGGAGCTTATTCAGACCTGCTCTATGGAGAGGATCTATGAGGATTAATCTGTGGCAATACGTCTGGAGAAATAAATCCAGTCCAGGTCAAGAATGAAAAGCTCCCAACTCTATCATGACGACCAGACATCATTAAAGCTGAGGTACCTAAGATTCAAAGCACATCATAAAATCTATGTCACTCGTTTTTGGCTCTAAAAAAATTTGCTTCTTTTATTAGTTTCATGTATTTGTGACCTCTGACACATCTTCAGATCAACTTTTTCAGACAGAAAAGTGAAATCGGCTCTCAGCCTGAAAAGTAAAATAGTGACTTACAGGGCTCTTTGAAAAAGGATAACATGTTTTCTAAAAGATAAAGAGCGCATGTTGTGGTCTGATTTGTTCACAAACGTTTACTTCTGAAGATTTGATGTAGTATAATGAGTTCTATAATAATAGTTTGTATCTATGTTCTTGATGTTTGTGGAAAATATTGATAACGAATAGCCTGAATTAGGCAACACTTATCGTTAATCTAGAGGATCTTGTTTGCTTTAAACCAAAATTTGACAATGGGGAAAGAAATCCAAAATTGTTTTTATTAAAGAGTCAACCACACAACTTGTTCCATCGGCAGCAATGGTTTTGAATCACCTAAAAGGAATATTTATTTTTCATTTTAAT